GTGGTGCCCAGAATTGGACACAATATTCCAGGTGTGATCTAACCAAAGCAGAATGTCCATCAAATGAGGCACTTTACTTTTCACAGTCTCAATGACTGTCTCCAAGTGTTGGGAAAAGTTGAAACCAACATCTTAGGGATCAGTTAGGCACATATCTGTATATTGAATCTGACCATGGCCCAATATGCTGTGCTGATATACCAGCAGCAGTGGGCAATCTAGTGTATTCAGTTTCCAATTGCTCCACCACAAAGATGTCATTAAACATTGAGAAAACCAAAGTGCTCTTCCAGCAGTCACCAGCCAATCCCTCCCCAATGCCAGAAATACAACGTAATGGTGTAACATTAGAAAATGTTGACCATTTCAGCTACCTTGGCAGCCACGTCTCCACAAAAGTCAACATTGACACCGAAATACAACACTGCCTGAGCTCTGTGAGTGCAGCTTTTTTTCCGAATGAAGCAGAGAGTGTTTGAGGACTGGGACATCCGTAGGGATACCAAGGTGCTTGTTTATAAAGCTATTGTCCTCCCAACCCTGCTATGCGCCTGCAAGATGTGGACAGTCTACAGACATCACATGCAACTCCTGGAATGATTCCACCAGCGCTGCCTCCGGAAAATCCTGCAAATCTCTTGGGAAGATCTCAGGATCATCAAGTTTGTAGACGACATCAAATTGGGAGGGATAGCCAATACTCCAGAGGACAGGAGCAGGATTCAAAACGATCTTGAAAGATTAGAGATGGGTCAAAACTAACAAAATGAAGTTCAATAGGGACAAATGCAAGATACTCCACTTTGGCAGAAAAAACGAAATGCAAAGATACAGAATGGGGGATGCCTGGCTCGAGAGCAGGACGTGTGAAAAAGATCTTGGAGTCCTCGTGGACAACAAGTTAAACATGAGCCAACAATGTGATGTGGCGGCAAAAAAAGCCAATGGGATTTTGGCCTGCATCAAAAGGAGCATAGTGTCTAGATCTAGGGAAGTCATGCTACCCCTCTATTCTGCCTTGGTCAGACCACACCTGGAATAATGTGTCCAATTCTGGGCACTGCAATTAAAGGGAGATGTTGACATATTGGAATGTGTCCAGAGGAGGGGAGCTAAATGATCAAGGGTCTGGAGAACAAGCCCTATGAGGAGCAGCTTAAGGAGCTGGGCATGTTTAGCCTGAAGAAGAGAAGGCTGAGAGGAGATATGATAGCCATGTCTAAATATGTGAGAGGAAGCCACAGGGAGGAGGGAGCAAGCTTGTTTTCTGCTTCCTTGGAGACTAGGACGCGGAACAATGGCTTCAAACTACAAGAGAGGAGATTCCATCTGAACATGAGGAAGAACTTCCTGACTGTGAGAGCGTTCAGCAGTGGAACTCTCTGCCCCGGAGTGTGGTGGAGGCTCCTTTTTTGGAATCTTTTAAACAGAGGCTGGATGGCCATCTGTCAGGGGTGATTTGAATGCAATATTCCTGCTTCTTGGCAGGGGTTGGACTGGATGGCCCAGGAGGTCTCTTCCAACTCTTTGATCCTGAGAAGACAAGCGGACAAATGTCAGCATGCTGGAAGAAGCAAAGACCACCAGCATTGAAGCGATGGTCCTCCGCCATCAACTCCGCTGGACCGGCCACATTGTCCGGATGCCCGACCACCGTCTCCCAAAGCAGTTGCTCTACTCCGAACTCAAGAATGGAAAATGGAATGTTGGTGGGCAGGAAAAGAGATTTAAAGATGGGCTCAAAGCCAACCTTTAAAACTCTGGCATAGAGACTGAGAACTGGGAAGGCCTGGCTCTTGAGCTCTCCAGCTGGAGGTCAGCTGTGACCAGCAGTGCTGCAGAATTTGAAAAGGCACGAATGGAGGATGAAAGAGAGAAATATGCCAAGAGGAAGGCACGTCAAGCCAACCCTGACCGAGACCGCCTTCCACCTGGAAACCAATGCCCTCACTGTAGGAGAAGATGCAGATCAAGAATAGGGCTCCACAGTCACCTACGGACACTACACTTGGAGAACCATCATCCTCAGACTATGAGAGATCGCCTAAGTAACCACCATTGCTGGGGGATCCAGCTGTTTCTACTTTTTCAGCCCACTGAAACTTGAAGGCAACACATAATAGGCATCATGTTCCAGGCAATAGGCAGAAGGAGGAGAAGGCAAAGGCAAAGCGAGATGTCAGCTTTTGGTTGAATCTTCAATTTCTTCCCCTCTGATACTGGCAATTGAGGCAATGACTACTACGTCTCTTTCAGTTCCATTCTCAGCATTTCTTCTTATATGAGTTCTGATTATATCTTAAACTCAGCTGTTGTTTCTCAAGAGCAACGAGTGCCCTCTCCATCAATCCAGCTGATACAATCCACAGTTGCTTTTCTGTTGAGATATCGTTGTTGGCACTACAGCCGTCTTCCAGGTAAGAAAGATCTCCATTCTGTCAAGAATGAACCTTTGATCATCCTCCATCTTCTATTCCCACCCCCTCTGCTTTTCAATCTGAAATACATTAGTTGCTATGGAAATGGCTAGGGGAGGGCCCAAGCAAGGCATTTTAATCACTGGTGGACTGGGTTGAAAAGTGCTGTGGATTACTTAAAACCATTCCAAGTGCTTGTGTGTATATTCAAAGATGTATTCTTTAGGTGCATTTGGATATGCGACTCCAAGATTGCTTAGGATAGGGAGAGAAATGTAGCACGAGAGATACAGTGAGGAGAAGAGGCAAGAAGGGTTGTGAATTCTTACAACCAATCACAGCTTTACTCTTCCTAATTTTAATTTATCTGGGCATAATCTATATAAATAAAAATGTAATTTTCGTTTGTGGGATTAACGGAACTCAAAAACCACTGGACAAATTGACACCAAATTTGGACACAATACACATATCAGGCCAACAAGTAACTGTCACTCATAAAAACACTGGAAAATACAGCAGAAGGGGCTTAAAAAGAAAAAAAAGACCCCAAAAAAAACATTACAACGCACGCGCAAACCACATATATATACACAAACACACATATATACACACATATATGCATATACACACACAAAACATAAACAGGAAGGAAGGAAGGAAGGAAGGAAGGAAGGAAGGAAGGAAGGAAGGAAGGAAGGAAGGAAGGAAGGAAGGAAGGAAGGAAGGAAGGAGAGAAGGAAGGAAAGAAAGAAGGGTAGAGAAGGAAGTAAGGAAGGAAGGAAGGAAGGAGAGAAGAAGGGAAAGAAGGAGGGAAGGAGAGAAAGAAGGGAAGAAAGAAATGTAGAGAAGGAAAGAGGGATAGAAAAAGGGAGAGAAGGAGGAGGGAAGGAGAGAAGGAAGGAAAAAAGAAAGGTAGAGAAGGAAGGAGGGAGAGAAAAAGGGAGAGAAGAAGGAGGGAAGGAGAGAAGGAAGGAAAAAAAGAAGGATAGAGAAGGAAGGAAGGAGAGAAGGAGGGAGAGAATGAAATACAAAAGTGAAAGAGGGAAGGAAGGAGAGAAGGAACAAAAGAGAGAAAGAGGGAGGGAAGGAAGGAAAGAGACAAGGAAGGATGGAACCAAAGAGCAAAGGAAGCAAGAAAAGAAACAGGTAGAGAAGGAAGAAGAAGAAGGGAAAGAAAAAGAGGGAAGGAAGGAAAGGGAAGGGGAGAAAGAAAGAAAGAAAGAAAGAAAGAAAGAAAGAAAGAAGGAGAGAAAGAGTGAGAGAAGGTTGGCCACAGCAACGCGTGGCAGGTACAGCTAGTCTATATAAATAAAATTGTAATGTTCATTTGTCGGGTTAACATAACTCAAAAACCACTGGACGAATTGCCACCAAATTTGGCCACAAGACACCTACTAACCCAAGGAGTGACCGTCACTCAAAACAGTTGATTTTGTCATTTGGGAGTTGTAGTTGCTGGGATTTATAGTTTACTTAAAATCAAAGAGCATTCTGAACTCCGCCAATGATGGAATTGAACTAAACATGGCACACAGAACCCCCATGACTAACAGAAAACACTAGAAGGGTTTGTTGGGTTTGTTGGGGGGGGGGGGTTGCGAAGGGCAGGGTGCAAATATCTGAAATAATAAATAAATAAATAGCTCAAACAGACAAGAGTTCTTTCTCCCACCCTGGACATTCCACAGATATATAAACCCCTTTTTCCTAGTTTCCAACAGACCTCACAATCATAGATGCAGGTGAAATGTCAGGAGAGAATGCTTCTGGAACATGGCCATACAGCCCGAAATATTTACAACAACCCAGTGATTCTGGCCATGAAAGCCTTCGACAATACAGCAATTTATTATTTCGTGTTAAAAGCATTGCATAAATAAATTAGTATAAAAGTGATAAAATAGAGGGAACACAAGCGGCTTAATAATTTTAGACCAAAAAACGGGCAACAGCGACTGCATTGTCTGTAACTTTAAACATTTCTTCCTCTGTGCATGAGGCAGGGCATTGTGGGCAAGCATGCGGAGTTGTTTGTTCTGCTCCACATTTGCATAAGATGGAGAACTCATCTAGGTAGTGCCATTCAGTGTGTGTTCTGCTCCATAATCACACAAGGTGGAGGGTTCTTCTAGGTAGTGCCAGGTTGTCTTTTGATATGTCAACTCAACTTCTAAGTCTGTTCAGAGAATTCCAAGTAGCCCATTCTTGGTTTGCCAGTCATTTAAATGCATGGAGCGAATGAAACCTAATTGCAAACACCATGTCAAAGAAAATGCATAAGATGGAAGATGTTTCCCAACCAGAACATTCACCGAAACCTTGTCAAGCTGTATTGCTTGTAACACAACTCTAATAAAGAAAGGGAATCTCTTTAAGGCCTTTGCCTTGAGGCTCACCTAGTTGAACACACTCAAACCTGTCTTTTTTGGTCTATTGCTGAAGACCAGCTGAGGAACAGCCTCTGTGCAACCTCACTGACAAGCTAGCCCTAGGCCAAATTCCAGTAATTTCTCAACGTGCCACGGCAAAGATGGAGGAAACAACATTAAAGAGCAGCGTGGCAGCTCAACCCCTCTGTACCTGTAGACGGCCCGCTTGTCGGCCTCCAGCTGTGCCTGAGGATCGATGGGAGTGTTGGGTAGAGGAGTGTTGCCGGCTGCCGAAGGCGAGGTGATGTGGACGGGCTGGGCTTTAGCTGGCTGTTGCGTGGCGGCTGTCATCTGTTAAGCAAAGGAAGCACAAGAAAGCAAGAGGTTGAAAGGGAAATGCATGTTGTTTCCAAGTGATGAAGGAGAGATGATAACTGGAGAAGCGTTGCCAACCAGCTACTTTGCAAAATGACATGATGTGGAACAACTGGCTTACATGTCCAGTTCTGGGACTTTCAGTTTCAAAACAATCCCCACATGCAAACTCTGCAAATTATATTCCTGCATAAAATCCAGCAAGTTCAGTAGCTCAGCGGTTTAACCTGCTGCACCACCACGGAGCTTACAAAATATATCTGTAAAGCATACGCTCCAGAAAGTAGCATTGGATTTTTTAATTAAAAAAACTAGCTGTACCCGGCCACGCGTTGCTGTGGCCCTCAGAAAACAGAGGATTTGCAGACACGAAGCAATCTGGGCTAGGGAACTCCTCCCACCAAAGGCTTCCTGCTGGCTAGTAAAAGCCAGGCTGTTAAGGTGCAAGGTGCTAAAGTAATGAGAAGTAGCCACTGAAGCTGCAAGGCTTTTCAGTTATATTCATGCTGGCCAAAACACTAAAAAAAAGTCTCTTTGGAACAGAGGCTGGGTGGCCATCTGTTGGGGGTGCTTTGAATGTGATTTTCCTGCTTCTTCAGAAAATGGGTTTGGCCTGGATGGTCCACCAGGTGTCTCCCAACTCTAGGACTCTCTGATTCGATATCCTTTTCTTCCCTTCACAAGTTTCCTCTTTCTTTCTTCCCTTCCCTTCCCTTCCCTTCCCTTTCCGCTCCTGCAGTCAGGTTTGCCTTGCAATCCTCTGGTCTTGGGGAAAGAGTTGCCTGGTAGCCACATGGGCCTTATGGAGCCACTGCGGTGGCTCCAGCTGCTGCTGGGGCTTACCTCGCCAAGCCCCTACCCCTCCGTTGGGCCAGGTCTTCTCCTTCCTTCCTTCCCTCTGTCCTTTCCTCAATCCCTCCCCTCCCCAAAAGAAAAAGGACTCTGCCTTCCTGCATGGAAAGGGACTCCATGGCGAGGCTTCTCTTCCCTCACAACGGTTGGTGCTTCATTCTTCTCACGCAATGGGGAGAGGGGCTTTTGCACATGCCCTGTAAGGCATTTTTCTTTTTTGGGAGTTCTCTAAGTTATTTCCCCTTCATTTTTCTTTACTTTTTTGTTTGAAAGACATAGATTGGATTAGAATGTGTTTTGCTGCCAAATTTGGTGTCAATTCGTCCAGTGGTTTTTGAGTTCTGTTAATCCCACAAACAAACATTACATTTTTATTTATATAGATGATGACATTTGCCACTCACAGAGGCGGCCCTAGGTAATTTTCAATGGTAAGCAAACAGTATTTTGGCGCCCCCCCCCCCAAACCAATTATTGATATATATATTCTGTTTGTCGTGGGAGTACTGTGTGCCATATTTGGTTCAATTCCATCATTGGTGGAGTTCAGAATGCTCTTTGATTGTAGGTGAACTATACATCCCAGTAACTACGACTATGTCAAGGCCTATTTTCCCCCAAGAGCGCCTCAAGAGTGGCCCTGGGCACAATCAACTATACTGCAAATGCTTACTTTGCGTAATAGGTTGCTGAGGCTTCCCCCGGACTGCTAGGGCTGTTGTGAGCCGAGGGGGCACTCCTCGAGGGCATTTACAGAGGCACCTCTGCACCCCTGGCAAAAAAAAAAAGTGTACTGCGACTGCTTACTTTGCGTAATGGATGAGCTGCCCCTGGCCACCCTGCAACCTGTCCTGCCCATTTCTCCAGTAGCCACCCTCGATCTAGATTGTACAGAAAGCAAAAGACCAGATTTTCTTCGAAACTGCGGAGCAAGAAGTGAAGTTTCGTCTATTGCATTAAAGCCTATAGGAAGTGCTTTCCCTGCTAAAAGGGTCATATGTCGTGTGTCAAGATCAAGGCAGTTACAAGGTGAGTATAATTTTTTAAATGACTGCAGACAAGCTCTCAGAGGAGGAAAAGAAGTAGAAAGCACAGTAAAACTCCACTGTGAAAATGCCGTCTTGTCCTTTTTTGCGCCTGGTGTGGACAAGGCTAATGAATCACTAAAGGATTCCAAAGGGTGTTTGGAAATTCTAAATAGGATTGAAGGCCATTGTATTATCACCATGGCTAGGGACTGAATGCATTTCACAGCCAAGTGACCAGAGGTCTGTGTAATGCAAGAGATTTGGAAGCTTTTAGGAAAGATGAGAGGAATGTAAAGTGAGCAGTAATTCATTACAACGCAGCTTCCCCTCCACACAGCTCTATACGTGAGCCATCCAGGATGGGTTTCCCTTCTTTGCAGTCTTTGAACTTAATTAAACCAGAAGGCTGATGCTAATGAATGAACCAAGCACAGACTTGCTGGTTGCAAATACACTCCTCTCTGGGTACGCTCCAAGCCTTTTCCAGCTCAAAAGCCTCCCTTGAAAAAGGGGTGGACGTTCAAAAATAATAAATACAAAAAGTCCAATTTAGGATAAAAGCCACAGCAGCTGAAAATAATCACAAACTTTGGCACATGGGATGCATGCAGCTGGGCTCATCTCCATAGTTATCTATATCTTCTTTATCTTATCTATACACATAATAAAAGTGAAAAATATGTATGTGTGTGTGTGTGGCGGAGATGTATACTTACACAGACAGCCTTCCTGACTATGAGAGCTGTTCAGCAGTGGAACTCTCTGCCCCAGGGTGTAGTGGAGGCTCCTTCTTTGGCTTTTAAACAGAGGCTGAGTTGCCATCTGTTGGGGGTGCTTTGAATGCAATTTTCCTGCTTCTTGGCAGAATGGGGTTGGACTGGAAGGCCCATTGTCAGTGTGTATTTCATGTATGATGTATGATGTACGTTTAAATGTAATTTTATGTAGGAGAATAGTGATTGTAATAGATTTGTATGGCCAGGATGTACATTTACACAGAAGAGTTAAACAGAAAATGAATCAAGCTGTGAGAATGTGACCCTGAGTTCTTGCTGTGTGAAGAATTAGGGAGTGTCAGAGATAACTCCTTTCCAGCTGCAGTTTGTCTTTAGTGTCTATCTCTTTCACTTTGTGTTCTTCACGTCTGTTCGCTTATGGTGTATGTTGGATTTATGAACTGCTCAAGTAAAGCTGAAACCTGCTTTTTACCGGTGATTCCAGAGTCCATTATTCTGAGCTTCTGCGATACTTCTGCTAGCGATAACACCCATGAGGTCTCTTCCAACTCTATGATTCTATGATTTCTACCTTTGCAAACAGGGTATAGTTCCAAGTGCTGAGAAGCCTCCGAAGGCACTTCCTCAACCGACATTGCAGGTTACAGCGACCGCAATGAACATGTAGCCCAAACACTCCCAACGTCCTTCCCAAACACTACGACCCACCACCCAAAGAATGCTTTCATTTGGGGAGAATTTCAATCTAGATTTTAGGTGTCTCCTCCACCACAGGCAAGCATCCCAGGGTTCCTTGTGTGGAATTTGCATGACCCCATCCACTTCCTCTCCCTTAATCCTTTCCTAGCCTTTCCTATGGCACATAGGAAACAGAGAGGAATTGATCAACAACTGAACAGACTGGAGAGGTTTGGAGGACTGAGGTCAACTGTAAATGCTGGGGTGACTGTCCTTGGCATATAGGAGTTGTCGTTCACCCATATACAGAGAGCACTATTTATTTCTTTATCGTGTCAGGAACGAACCAAACAGTTGTATTGCATTAAAAACAAACAAACAGACAAACAAATCACGAAGTTTGCAAACTTGATAGTTGATTAAATGTCCTCTGACCAGAACCAGAGAGCACTGAACCCAGTCGACGATAGATCTGGACCAAACCTGGCACACACACCCAACTGTGCCATGGTTTGGGGAGGATTGACCCATGATTATGGGAATTGTAACTCACCCACATAGTTATGTATTTTCTAAAAAATCATAAAAAACAAAATCACATTCTAACTTTTTCCTAATAAATAGTATTACTAAATGATATTACCTAACACCCCTAAACAAGCAATACCCTTTTCAAACAATCTGGGCACCGCCAGGTACACAAGCTAGTCCATAATAAAAGTGAAAATATGTATGTGTGAATGTGGCTGGGGTGCCCACTTCCACAGATTGGCTCCCATTTCCACAAACAGCTTTAACCCACAATGCTGAGGAGCCACCAAGAGCCCTTTGAAGATTTAGGGTCATGACAAAATAATAATAATAATAATAATAATAATAATAATAATAATAATAATAATGGAAGTCAAGAGTAGTAAACGGCTTAAAGTGCAAAAGACAAAGGGTGAATAGTGTAAAAACACAATGCAGAGCAGAAGAGAAAACTGGCAAAAGAAAGCTCTCCATTGAGAGTTCCTGGGAAAAATTGAGAGCCAAATTGACAAATTAAAAACATGGATGTGGCTCACAAATGGAACTTAGAAAAAGGAGGCGGAGGGCCTGATTCCGGCAGACCAAGAACAAGCCATTAGAACAAATGCTATCCAAGCCAGAATTGAACAGTCGACAACAGATCCCAAGTGTAGACTCTGCAAAGAAGCAGAGGAAACAAAGGATCATATCCTCAGCTGCTGCAAGAAGATCATGCAGACAGACTACAAGCAGAGGCATAATACCGTTGCTCAATGATTCATTGGAACTTATGTCACAAATACCATCTGCCTGCGACAAAGAACTGGTGGGATCACAAGCCTGAAGAAGTTACAGAAAATGAACACGTCAAACTCCTCTGGAACTTCTGAATTCAGACAGAGTTTTGGAGCACAACACTCCTGACTTCACAATTGTGTTAAAAAACCAAGTATGGATTGTTGATGTTGCAATCCCAGGTGACAGCAGAATCGAAGAGAAACAACTGTAAAAGCTGACACGATATGAGGATTTAAAGATCAAACTTCAAAGATTCTGGCACAAGTAAAGGTGATCTCAGTGGTGATCGGCACACTGGGTGCAATGCCTAAAGACCTTGGCCTGCACTTAAACACAATTGGCACTGACAAAATTACCATCTGCCAGCTGCAAA